CACACACGCATATACGCACACGGACAACAAGCCGAGTGCAAACCTTAGGGTTGCACCAACAAACTCCCCCTCGGATTGTTGGCCTTAGGATCTTGCTCTCTTAGTTCAAAGCCATCCCAGCCAGCTTGCAACACTTCCAATGCTGCTGCTCTACCAGCCTCTTGGTCATCATGTCAGCCGGCTGCCCCGTGGTCTTCACGTAGCGCAACTCAACTTCACCCGCGGCCACCATGCTCCTCGTCCAATGCCACTTCACCCTCATGTGCTTCGTGAGTCCATGCAACACAGGGTTCTTAGCAAGAGCAATGGCACCCTGGCTGTCACAGTACAGTGGGGTAGGTCCTTGCTGCTCCTCCCCCAATTCAGCCAACAAACGCCGCTGCCACACAATCTCCCGTACTGCACGGAAGAGTGCCATGTACTCGGACTCCACCGAGCTCAAAGCTTGGTCAACCTGCTTCTTGCTCTCCCAAGCAGTTGGGCCTCCACCAACACAGCATATGAAGCCTCCCACACTTGTCATGTCCTCTGGTTCCGATGCATATGAAGCATCGGAGTAGGCGGTGAGGAACAAACGCCCGGGTTCAACACCATCCGCACCCTTTTTGGCGCCTTTGTGCCGCCGCCGAGTATTGCAACCCAACGGTCGGTGTTTGGCCAAGATACTTGGCCACCCTCATTCCAGCTGCTACCTGCTCTTCATTAGGGCATTGCACTACCCTAGCTAGCTGCCCGGTAGCAAACGCGACGTCCGGTCGGGTGTTTACCGCCGCATACATGAGGCTGCCCACCAACGAGTGAAAACGGCGCCTCTCCTCTTCACAAACGCTCTCCTCCTCTGGTCCCTTCACACACTTGAACCCAGAGGGAAAGGGAGTAGCCACATGACCTTCACTCTGGCCAAAGTTGGCAGCCAACGCCTCCAGGTACTTTCGTTGGTGCACTCGCATGCTCCGCTTCTCCACGTCTCGTTCGATGTGGAGCCCAAGGTAGAAGTTCACGTCACCAAGGGACTTGCACTTGAACTTGTCATGCAGCTTCAGCATCACCTCCTTCACAAGGTCAGAGGAGGGTGAGAATATGAGAATGTCATCCACATAAACCATCATGAAGCTCCTCTGCTCCCCCTCGCCAAGCATGAACAAGGAGTGATCGGCCGTTGAGGGAGTGAAGCCGATCTCCTCCAACACTTCGCGTAGCTTCATGTACCATTGCCTAGGGGCCTGCTTCAGCCCATAGAGGGCCTTCTTCAGCTTCCACACTCTGCCACTACCATCATCAAACCCCTCTGGCTGTGCCATAAAAATCTCCTCCTCAAGGATGCCGTTGAGGAATGCCGTTACGATGTCCATTTGTTTTACTACCCATCCTTTGATGGCGGCTCCCGCGAATAGGGTTCGCAGTGTCGTCGGCTTCACCACAGGGGCAAACAGCTCCTTGAAGTCCACCTTCTCCTTTTGCTGGTACCCCTTGGCTACAAGCCTAGACTTGTAGCGCTCGATCTTGCCGTCGGCATCCGACTTGATTTTGAAGAGCCACTTGGACGTTATCGCCGTACGCCCCTCCGGTAGCTCCACCAATTCAAACGTGTCGTTCTCCTCGATGCTCTTCAGCTCACTCTCCATGGCTTTCTTCCACTCCTCAGCATCACTACTCTCCAAAGCCTCCTTGAGAGTTGCTGGTTCTCCCGGCATCTCCACCGGGGAGAAGAACGCGAAGGCACACTCCTCGTAGTCACTCTCCTTGTCGTCTCCGACCATCATTGCTGCTCCGGCCAGGGCTGTCTTGCCCTGCTTTCCCGGCGCATCATAGGTCAGCCTATTAGGGGGTTGAACTCTCCTCTTCCCCCTTCCTTCCTCCTCAGCTGCAGGGACTTGAAGGCCTTGGCGTTGCTGCGGTGTGGCTCGAATCCGTGGAGCACTTGTAGTGCGGGAAGGGAGTGACGGTGCACGCTCGCTCACTTGCTGCACCTCCTCCTCTTCTTCCTCAGCATCATTGGCCTCCTCTCCCCCATTCACAAGGGAGGATTGCCTCGTGGTTGTGCTACCGCTGCTCAGCTCCAAAGGCAGCTCCACATGCTCCAAACCGGAACTCTTCACCTCCCCAAACCGCACGCCTATCTTCGCCTCATTCTCCGCCTTCCAATCTTTGTACATGAAGTTCTCCATGAACTTGCATTCCCTGATCACCAAGAATTTCTTGGTGAATGGGTCCCAAAGAAGCCATCTTCTCTATAGAGAAGGTGGGCGCAGAGTGGAGCTGCCTCGCAGCCTTGGGATTGTCGTGGAGAATGAGGAGCGGTTTGAAATGAATCTGGAGGTGGAGAGGTGGTGGGATGATGGTGAGAAGGAGGTTACAGTGGAGGAGTTTGAAGAGCGGAATCAAAGGCAGAGGATTTTGCAGCAGCAGCAGCGGCCGTGGCGGCAGCAGGAGGAGCAGGAAGAGGAGGAGGAGGAGGAGGAAGAGCAAGTAGGAAAACCCCCTCTTATAAGGGCTCCAAACTTGCAAGCGATATTCTTCCCCACCCGCACATGCAAGCAGCAAACCCTTGCTTTCCTTCGTGAATCCTATCCCTCCCTCGCCCTGTACTGCATCGCATGTCGTTCCTTCTACTGGGAGAAGCACGGGAAGGAGTTGGCTGAGACCCCTTTTGAGGCGCCTCAAGAGAAGCAGGGGAAAGAAATGGCTGAGACCCCTGTGGTGCATGTGAGGAAGGGGAGGAGCGGGGTGTCGAGCAATAGTTGGGGGGGGGAGGCAGCCAAAGAATGTGAGGGAGAAGATGCACAGTGTGAATAGGGAGTTGGTTGAAGGGTACAGTGTTGATACAGATGAGGCTTATATGCTCAAGTACAAAGGCAGCCTCTGGGGGACTTACTGTCGTTACAGCCTCTAGCATTCATTTATTGGTGTGTACAAGGTCTGGGTCGACTCAACTCTCACTGATACAGATGAGGCTTATATGCTGAAGTACAAAAGGAGCCTGTGGAGGACATACTCCTATAATAGCCTCTAGCATGCAGTTGTGTAGACATGCCAATGGCGGAAGATGCACAGAAGCAACAAAAAAACGTGAGGGAGAGAATGGACAGTGTGGTATTGATTAATGTACAACATACGATGCAGTTGCCGTCATGTACAATATGTTCTATAAAATATTATAGCCAAACCATTTTACACGTACATAGACATCAACAATCTGGGCTTGTTTAGCAAAATATTTCCTTCAAAACTCCTTTTCCTCCTCTCTAACACCTCGCCTCACTATCTGCTCTCCTTTCCTGTACTGACTTCAACCATTAGCATGCGCCCTGCCAACCAGCAGCAAACAGGGGAGGCAGCTGCGGCGGGAACAACAATGCCTGGACACTGCAAATGTCCACCATTACTACCACCCTACCCTACTGCTAACACCCATTGCTCTGCCCATCACCAATTGCACCCATCTATTCCACCACGCCCCCACGACCACACACACCACTCTTCACGCGAGTGTTGCCACCACTGCAAACATCACAGAACACAACACCCTTTCTGCTCTTCCGTGCACACACCCGCCACTTGCACCCCTCACACCTACGGTACATACCCTTCTCACACCTACCTGTACTACCCCGGCTGGTCTTGCCCTTCTCCTATCAAAACACGAAGCAATTCAAAGATTCTGAAGGACTTGCATGATCTTATCATCCTGCTCCATGAATTCCTGCTGTACGGTGTGTAGGGCACGTCCTGGAAACACCCACACTGCAGGCTCATTGGAAGCATCATGATCTGGCCTGTCCTGCTCTACAGGCTATTTTCTCCGGTTCTCTCCCTCCCCTTCGCACCGGAACGACCGCCCAACAATGCAGTAGAGTGCCAAAGAAGGGAACTGCATGCGCAAAGAAACCAGAGTGCTGGACTGCCAGTGTCGCGTGGCGAAGAAAATTGACTGTAGATTAAGAGCATTGATGAAAGGGGGGCGAATGCCTTGGTGCTCACTGGTGCTGCTGGTGCTTCTCTCTCCTTCTCCACCAATGCCCATCCTCTGGAGAAACAAACGTCCAGCATCCTCCACTGTAACCATGTCATCATTCCAACCACCACCGACTCTCCTGCCTCTCATGCAAATCCCGAGGGAGCACAGGCACGTCCATTCTGCAGACACCTCTAGCGGCAAGCCATGCGTCACTATAACCTTCTCTACAGTTGGCGCTATGGAGCTGAGAATCAGCGTCAAGGAAAGCATATCCCCCATATGCTGGTGCTTTCCTTGGGTGTTTGGTCCGTCTAAGAAGACTGTTTTTGCAGAAGCTAACTGGAGTGAATATACTTCAAGCTGCAAGTGGCCAATTAGAATCAAGGAGTCAAGATGAAGAGGGCTGGTGCACGTGCAGTTGACCTTCAGCTCGTCGGCTATGACAGAGGGTTCCTTCAAATTGAGAGGGAGAGAGAAGTCAACGGCAAGCAATTGCCGTGCAGTACTGACTCTGATAACCCTTGCAACAGAGAAGTCGAGTTTGAGGCTAGGAATGAGACGTCCAGGGTAAGAGAGGGAGAATTGATGCAGCTGCGGTGTGATGGAAGACAGAAAGTTATAGTCATAGCTGCAGCTTCTCAAATGCTCAATGGTCAGACTCCGTAGTGCCTTCAACGATGTTGCTTTTACGTTGTTTAGTTGCCAAAGCCCACGGCCTAGCTTCAGCTACTGTAGCTGACTAAACTTCTCGAGAAAGGCCACATTGAGGTGCTCGAAATGGATGGATTTTTAACTGGTTATACTATCCTTGACCTTAAGACACAGGCTGGTAAGGGAGTGCAAAGAGGATGCCTTCAGCCGGTGGAGGCGCTCCAGATCCATGGAGCTGCTGAAAGTGAGGCTGAGGGAAGCGTGACCTCTTTGTTGAAGGAGCCAAAAGATTTCTCGGTTCCAACGAAGCTCCTGGTCATTGAAATTCAGGAATATGGGCTTCACCTCCTGCATCCACAAAAGAGAGGAAAAGCCAGAGCCCGATTTCCCATCATGCCATGAGAAACATTGCACCAGAGATTGTTATTGTTGAATGCGAAGCAAGCAAAGCACTCACGGAGAAGGAAATGATATGGCGGAGCAACTTCTTGCTGGCCATGGCACGGCTTAGCAGGTGCCAGGAGGAGCCAAAGCGCTTGGCGTTTTGCTCATACAGCTCCCTGTCAGAAAGTGGATTCATAGTGGGACGGTACTCGTCGTCCTCTTCAATCTTGAATGAGAATGGCGAATCAGGCTGCTGCTGCTGCAGAGCAATGAAGTCACACAAGCTGCTCACTGCTCCCCTCAATGATAACTCCTCACAAGAGGCGTCCAGCTTTTGCTTATGAGTGGGATCAGCCGGTGGCAGCAGCAGGAGGCGGAAGATGATGTGCCAGATGGGACCGGGCAGCAGATCAACCACGTCCACGCTCTGATGGGTGTTGTGAGAGAAGCAGTGGATATGAGAGAGGAAGGGACAGCGGGAGTGGAATAGGACCAGGCGAGTTAGCGCGAGGAAACGGAGAAGTCAGATGACACTGTCTGCGGCATCACGCTCACCTGGTGAGAATTCTCAGTAGCCGCGGGCTGTGTGAGTTCGAGAGCAACCATTCTCTCTTTCACACCTGCATCCCCATGACTAGAGGCCAATTATGTAGTGACGCCTACGGGATGGGATTCGACAAGGCTAAAGCGACTCGTCTGAGATTGAGGAATGAAGAAAAAGAGGAACATAAAGAGGAAAAGATTTAGTCCGCAGCAGGCTATTACGCAATTGGCAAGCAAGCAGAGGCAGGTGGTGCGTTACTGTACTAGGTTCCATGCATAATTCCCTTGCGAGTACATATGCATTATTTTCCAGCAAATATAAGGATTGGCTAGCTATTCACTACAGGAGAGGGGATGAACAAAGCCCACATAGTACACTTGACTATCAATCCAAGAAAGTTTGCGCAGATCCTAAATTCTGCTGCCTTTGAGGTTTCTTTTCTATCCACCCGTACTCTCTATTCTATGATCTGTTGTACCAAGGTGGTAACACCACACCGGCCGCATCATGTGGCACCACATGCACTCGCCTAGCAGCAGCAAGAGGAGCTCTGTCACCACCATCAACACTCGTCGCAGCCATACCGCACTGTCAGCGCCCCGTACCCATCCCATCACCACCAATTCCACCACCACATCAACCCCATTGACACCAGCATTATCATCACTACAATCCATACGCAGTGCCCTTCCTGCTCGACCCTGGAGACACCTCACCCCACACAGCTCCCTCACTCGATTTCACCCCCTCACTACCTTGCCTCACCTTCTCCCACCTCCTCTCAGAGTAAAAGCAGCTCAAAAATCTTGAAGGAACCTCATGGTCCAATCATCCGGCACCTCGGTATAGGGTAATGCCAACACCAAGGGCTCCTTGCTCTGCTGTTCCGCCTTCCCCTCCCAGAGAAACAATTGACCCACAATGTGGTACCATGCGAGGGAAGGGAAGTGTCTGCGCAGCGACGCCAGCGTCTCCGGCTGAAACTGTCGCGTCGGAAAGTAAAAAAACTTCAAGGCTGGAGCATTTATGAAAGGAGGCCTGATCACTTCTCGCCTACTGCCCCTGTTCGGCAAATCGTAAGGACCTTCTTCATCCTCTACTGCCTGCTGCCTTCTTCATTCTCTTCAGCGCTGTTGCCCCTCACACCAATCCCAGGGCAGTGCAGGCGGCTCCACTCTGCATCCACGTCCTCAAGAGGCCAGTCATGCCTCACCAGCAACGTCTCCACTGTAGGCGCTATGCTGCTGAGCAGCTTCGTCAAGGCAAGCCGAGAGTCGGAACCTGAAAGCGGAACTGACGGCGGGTCGGCCTCTTCGTTGGCCCCTTCGTTGGTGGCGGGTCTGTTCAAAATTGCAAGATCAGCGGACGCCAATGGGAGCGAAGATATGGAGAGCTGGTGGCGGCCAACTAGTTTTAGAGAGTCGAGAGAGAGGGCGCTGTCGCATTTGCAGTTGACGTGAAGAGACGCCGCTGTGAGAGAAAGGGTCTTTAAAGAGGCCGGAAGGGAGAAACGGGCTTTGAGATTTCGGTTCCTAAAACTGACTGTAATGACTCGAGCAACAGTGAACTCGAAATCAAGGATGTTAGAGCCATGACTGGTGAGGGTAAGTGAGAATTCGTGTAGCTGCGGTAAGATGGAAGACAGGACAAAATAGTCGTCTCCGTAGCTAGACACGTACTCGATGCTCAGACTCATTAATGCCTTGAACCATGCAGCATTCAAGCTCCACCGTCCACAGCCTAGCTTCAGCCGCTGCAACTGGCCAAATTTCTCAAGAAAGGCTGGATAGATCTGCCCAGTCCTGAAGTGGTTAATTTCCCCTGGGCTGGCAGATTCCTTAATTTCCAGGCTCACTCTTGTGAGGGAGTGAGCAGAAGATGCTATAAGATCACCGATTGTCTGCAGATCCTTTAGGCTCCTGAAATCGAGGTCAAGGGACTTGTGACCTGACTGTTGAAGGAACCAGAAAAGCGTTTTGTTCCACTCGGGATCTTGCGTGGTCTGTACGAGGGAGATAGGCTCCAGCTCCTGCACACACAGAGAGCGGAACTTTTCCATACTGTGATCTTTGACAAATGGGTAGAGGGCATCGGTAGAGTCAGTACGGTTCATCAGAGCTTGTGTTCTGAGAAATTTGGAAAAAAAAAAACAACTCCTACTGATATAGCATGCTATGAAGAGGAGGGTGCATGACAGAATGAAGAAACGTCAGAGCACTCTTAGAGAAGGAGGTGAGATGGCGGAGGAGAAGTAGGTGGTTGGAATTGAGAAGCAGTCAGTGACTCACGGAGAAGGAGATAACATGGTGAAGAAGCCTCTTGCTGGCCATGGCACAGCGCAACAGAGGCCAGGAGGAGCCAAATCACCTCGCGTTCTCCTCATGCTGCTTGCTGGCAGAAAGGGGTCTGGTATCATCAACACATGAGATGTTGCCTTCTCTCTGCTGCAATTCGCCCAAGGGGTTACCCTGATTATGCAGCTCTGTGGAGTCAGTCGGCGGCAGCAGCAGGTGGCGGAAGATGATGTGCCAGATGGGGCCGGGCAGAAAATCAACCACGTCTAGAATCTGATGGGTGGGTGGGGAAAAATACTTATTTTTTAGAGAAGAGAGGAGGAATCGAGGGGGAAGCCGAAGTGGGATGCGGAACCAGAGGATCAGATGCAATGTCTGCTCTGCGGCATCATTCTCACCTCACCATTATGTGCAACCACATCTAGGATCTGGTGGATGGGCATCGCGGAAAAAGCAAGGGCCAGAAGTGACGAAAATGTGACATTTCCGTCACATTTTCGTATACGGTTTTTGGGGGTAAAAAGGTGATGGTTGGAAGTGCCAAGACAACCGTCACATCCAATGTGACGGTGATGTCACGGAAATGTCACGGAAAAGCTTCCCCCGCGTCACAACCACCGTCACGGGTCGGTCACATGCAAGTCACGCACAAGTCACAACGGGGTTTCCTCCGTCGGGTGAATATCAAATGCCACGATTAGACACGATCTTATAGGAACCATACACGTGGCGACCATGGCGTCATCATGCCATACCCTAAGTTACATTACTCGTACAGTACAATGCGACTCGAGCCACAGTCCTGTCCAACCAACAGCCTTCACGTGGACGACCCCTAATAACCTGGGATCGCATCCACACCGTTCAATGTCCGCCACTGTAACCAATGCCCACGCGCCATCTTACGATAAGACCTGCCACCCATTGGTCGACAATAAATACAGCACGTCGCCATCCCACCACGTGCATATGGCGGATGCTGTTGAATTATGGCAACGTGTACGGCTGGAACTAGTCTCTTGATTACTACACCTATACTCTACCAGTGCATCCGACCGTCCACGTACACACGCATCGACGATACATCGCATCCGCCACCGCCAGACGGATCTCGCCAATGCAAACGTGTAATTATTACCGTCCGTTGATATTGACACACGTGTCCGTTGTATTCATAAAATGAAGCCGGGTGTGCTGGCCCACCTGTCATGCCCTCGACCGTCCACCACACCATTATCTAACGGTTGACCGGGCTGCCGCTGTACTTGCATCTACGGCTCCAGTAGGCCTAGGGCTCGCCACGCACAGCCCCACGATAAGCTGGTTTGGACCGTCTCGAACCGAATCGCGGTCCATATCTAACCGCATCGAACGGCACACATCCGAACCGCATTCCGCGTTTGTAACCCATCGCCAATGGCCGTAATTGTCTGCCTCGTTACACTTTCTGCAAAATGGGTGACGGATTATGTTTCCCCGTTGCTCACGACTTCCCGTGATAAATCGTTCATATCTTCTTGTTCCTTCAATGCAGACACGCAATTGACCACAATCACTAGAACACGCGGCTGATGCCATACCAAATCCCAAGCGTGATAGCCTCCTCACACGGCCTGCCAAGGTTCCCATCCAACGCCGCCCCACACGCATTAGGCAAATGGTTTAGCTACGATTCTAGGCACCAGCTAACGATGCCTCGCATCGCCTCCCGAAATTCGACCGATTATGCCTGCGGAGTCCTGCGGCTGACGCTCGTCTCCGCGCTCACTGCATCGGCTGCCGCAATGCCGTCGGCCGAGATGCACAGACCATGGCAGCCCCACGCCCAGCTTTGGGACGCCTCGTCATAGTCGGGCCGGAAATCCGCAATGGCCCCCCTAACCGCAGCCTTGACGAGGACGTGGAGGCCGTCCACGATCTGCGCGTTGGAGCTTGCGGAGTTGGCGAAGCGACCCTGGCGCGCCCCCCAGTGCATGACTGCATCTGACACCTGCGCACGACAAACCACATATCCGCGCGCGTGAGGACACTCTCCCTGGTACTTTAAGTGATGTAAAGTTGCAAGGCGTATGCGTACCACGTGAGGAAATTAGAACGAGAATGAGGTGAACTATGAATGAAGCGAGTACAAATATGAAACCCTAGTTGGGTTATACCCTCTATAGGATACCCCACTATAGCCTACACAATAGCATAAGCTATAATGTTCTGACACACCCCCATAGGCAAAGTGGGGGAGAACAAGGGGTCACAAGACCACTCAACCAAAGCAAAGCAAAGCTCAGGGTGAATCACAAAGTCACCACACATTCCAAGCACAAGTTCAAAGGCCAAAAAGCCAATTCACATGCAAGAGCACATATATATATATATATATACGAGGCTAAGCAAGCAAGAGCAGGAGTATATATATGTGACAGTACAAGCAAGGTCAAGAAGTGAGCAAGTGAGGCAAGACAGGCACAAGACCCAGCTGAGTGCAGAAGAGCTGATGATCACAAGGCGCAAGTGCCTTGGTGAAAACATCAGCAGTGTTGGCCTCAAAGGCCACGTACGCAAGCCACAACTGTCCACGCTGCTGTAGCTCACGAGCAAGAAAGTAACGGAGAGCAATGTGCTTTGTCCTGTGCTCCAGTCGCTGCTCTCGACACAAGGCCAGCATGGCCTTGTTGTCTACGTACAGCACTGGAGGAGAACGAGGCGGCTCTCCAAGGTCAGTCAGCAGGTAGGTGAGCCAGCGAAGCTCCTGGGCAGCCATAGCCCCGGCGTAGATCTCAGCCTCACAACTGGAGCCGAGAACAGAAGACGAGCGGGTAGCCCGCCACGAAACAGAGCCGGAACCAAGACTGAAGGTGTAACCCTGTGACGACCGCTGCGTAGCCTGGTCGTCAGCCCAAGAAGCGTCCGCGTGCCCAGTGAGGACCACTGGACTCCGCCCTCCAAGCACTAGCCCCATGCCCAACGTACTGCACAAGTAGCGCAACACCCTCTTCACTGCAGCCATGTGCTCTGGTCGGTGTCTCCCAGGAGCAACATAGCGTGCAAGAATGCTAAGAGGGTATGCAAGGTTAGGTCGTGTGCAGGTCATCAGGTACATGAGGCAGCCAACAAGCTCTGGATACGGGCCACTCGACTCTACGGACTCATCCGAAGGCAGAGCTGAGAGTGAGTGGCGAATAGGCAGAGGAGTGGCCTGAGGCGAGGAGTACGTGAAGCCAAAGCGTTGAAGGACCTGCTGCACCATGTGTGACTGAGTCAGGGTAATGGTGCGGCGTGCTCTGTCCCGGGTGATCTGCAAGCCAAGGTAGCTGCGCAATTCACCCAGGTCTGTGCACGTGTGTCGCTTCTGCAGCTCCGACTTCACGTAGGCGAGTCCAGTAGTG